AAATTAGGTTATAATCTCATTAAAGAACCACAAAATGTCATAATTTGGAGCCCGGATAAGTATATAAAATGCACTTATCACTCCTCGATCTCATCATCCTGACCTGAAACTCCAGCCTTCTCCTCTTCTTTAGTTCCATTTCCCTTTGAAAAAACTATGGTCAATCCTCTCGCCGAAGGGCAAACTCATTTATGCCCCTTCAGGGTCCTTAGAAGAGATGGATTGGTACACATGATCTCCTCACCGCCTTTCAATCTCATCTACAGAATGATCCTCTCTTTCAACTTGATCTCTAGCTGACGACAAACACTTGAAATTCTCATTATCTGAACTCATCCTCACCATGAGAAAAGAATGTGTGTTATTGTAGAAGAGGATCACCTTCATAGTACCTTGTCGTAATTTGTTGGGATCGTTGTTTTCATATCTGATGTCAAGGGTTCTTGGATTGGTAACTCCCTTCCCTCCAATATACGTTAATAAAGTATACTGTATTTAAGTTGTACTAATCAAATAGTATAATAAACAAAGTTTTAGTTTCTTTTTATTCTTTAAAACTGTCTAGTACTGTCAAATTCATGTACCAAGTATTCCATGAAGTTATTTAAGTTGCATCACTGGAAATTATATGTCTGCCTGTACAGAGAGAGAGAGAGCCTTCATGCATGCTTCACTCGTACATGGATCATTCATTTATATACATTCCATGGAACATAATAGAAACTGAAAGCGAAGTTGTTTTCTAACACACATGACAAACTACCCATCATTGTACGGTGGGCAAACCAACTGGACCATTCAATCCTCTACCTAATCTCTATCAAGCCACATCCACTAGGTAATTGAGGTACTCGTAACGTGGGCATATTAGTCTATGCATCTGACTTCCCATTTCGACCCTACACACATATAAACATTATGTTTTACAATCGTTCAAGACCTAGAACTTACCAAATCTACATGTCACGGACGTGGAAGATATTCGGATTCTTAACAACGATATCGTACATGTAAATTGAGTTGAATTTTGAAAAGTCTCTTGGTAGAGAAATGAGATCAATCGAAGAATGTTTGTGATATTGGAGGAGCTGCGGATCACCTCCATAATACCTCTCCCAACCCAAGCCAGTCAAAATTTGGTCAAGAGATTTATACGATGCCACTACCTCGTTTGTTGGCAAGTGTACCAAAACCTTTCTCCTTGAACTACCGGCGCTATTATTGCCCTCTTCCTCGGCTCCAGGATTTTCAACCAAGCGTATCACCCCATTATTCTTGAATACCCAAACGCCGGACATTATTTTTTTGTTTATTTATGAGGAAAGAACTGTGAAATCCTTTTTGCTCAAGTACTGAGGGAAACAATGAATGGGGTGGGGGATGGTGGAGGTAGTGAAGAGTTGGAGGGGTATATATAAGTGTGTCGTGGGACATAAAAAACAAGAGAAAAATACTCTTGAAGTGGGATGAAAAGATGGGCTTAATTGTTAAAACTTTGTAATAGAATCTATTAGATATTTCTTTTTAGTATGTGGTGTGGGCATTTACTTAACTATTTGACATATAGAAGGATAAAGTAATTTTTTTATCATATAAATTATTTTAGATGTTGAGTTTTTTTAGTATGTGGCAGGCACGAGAATTGCCTTGTACTATTCTTCTTCATTAGATAAAAACAACGATTTTAAAGGTGGAAAAAGACACGATCTAGGCGTTAAGCATGTAAAAACGCCTAATACGAAAAATGCTAACCCATTTTGACTTCTGCGAACTTCGTCACCAAAAGACGGCTAGCTAATCCGAGTCTAGGAGCCAAAAGGAGGATGTTTATTTTTTATCTTTTAAATTAAATAAACTAGTTAAATAAAATAAATTATTAATAATGATCTAAGAAGAATTAAAATCACGTTAAAAATAAAGAAATGCCTTAATACTCATGGGCGAGACTTGGAGCTTGACTCTACATCTTCATCATGTTTTACTTTATGTACAACCTCAAACGAAAATCGACGAGAAAACTTGGACGTATGTCTCAATGGAAAATAAATCCCTTGATTGCCTCCCTTTTCTTGTTTTCCTTCTCTCTTTTTTTCTCTGCTTGAAGTTGTTCATTTGCTGAATAAAAATCTCTTCAAAGATGTGGGACTGTGATTTCTGTCTAGCAGAAAAAGATTTTTT